TTCATCGTAGTGCTGTTTCCACCTTTCAATCACCTCGCGTTCGTCCGTTAAGATACCCTCTTCTTTATCCCGACACATTTCGGCTCGCGGGACAAAGCCTTGGTGGGATGCGTTGAGTTTCTTGTGGAACTTGCGTGTGTCTTGAGAACGATACAACTGCTCTATTTCTTCGCACTCCAGCTCTTCCAGGCGGCGCTTCTTATCCCGGAAAAGATGGGTTTGCTGTCTTCGCTTCTGTTTATATCGCTCCACATTATGACGGGTTCCTTGCTGCAGCCTCGCCACCCGCGCTGCGTTCTTCTCGTCCAAAACCATCTGATGCTCTTCGTCGAACCAATCGCTCCGTCGATTCCGCTCCATGAACCCAACGGCGCCTTCAGCAGCGCTGTTAATGGCTGCTTTCACGTTGCTCCAGCAGTCCTCAAGAGGGGCTTTGGTGAGCTCTCCCTCATCCGGCAGCGCTGCGTCGAGGCATTGCACGTCCCAACAATCAACTAGTGCTCATTAAGGGCTGAATAAGCGATTTTTGAGTTAAAGAAGCATATTTTTGCCTGAATATGCTCTTATTCAACTTCCAAATTTGTTGGGGTACTCAGTTGCGACTTCGGGCAGCTTCAGTCGCTCCAGATTGTACCGTGGCGGGCGTCGGTACCGAATGTTGTTGGCCAAGAAAATTTTTTGGCGCACCTTGACCATTACAAGGTAGTGGTCCGAATCGATATTTGCGCCGCGATAGGTCCTGACGTCAATAATGTCCGAGAAGTGCCTATGGGAGGCTTTGCTGGAAGTAGATACTACGTATGGCCATGTTCTTAGAGGCGGCGAAATCGATGAGTCTAAGGCCGTTGGCGTTCGTTAGCTGGTGAGCGCTGAACTTTCCTATAACCGGTCTTAATTCCTCCTCCTGGCCGACCTGAGCGTTAAGATCTCCGATGACGATTTTGACGTCAGTTGTCGTATTCCCGTTCCAGCTGCGCGTAAAAAGCGTCTTTATCGTCATCGTCACTTGCTAAGTGAGGGCTGTGTACGTTGATTATGCAGACATTGAAGAATCGGCCTTTGATCCTTAACTTGCACATTCTGCTATCGATTGGCCACCACCCAAGCACGCACTTCTGCATTTCGCCCATCACGATGAAAGTTGTACCGAGCCCATGTGTATTGCCGCAGCTCTGGTAGATGGTATAACCTATAACCATAGAGGTAACTCTAAGACCAGAAGGTCCCGAAGAAACGAGCTCAACATTTTGGCTCAGCTATGGTACTATCTTCGGTCCCAAGCTAATCGATTCACCCCTCGAAACATGGGAAAATCCACTAACCCCTCATTTTATCTGTCAAACTTTCACAGCAAATCAAAACAAACATAGTGTAGTACTGGAATTTATACTATAATGGGGTACGTTAGTCGATTTGCTTGGAACCAATAGGCTAGTCAAGTAGTGAGCCAATTTAAAATGGTTAGTTTCATATTAATTGTTGGTATAACCATCCCTATATGTATGTATCGACGATCCCTTCCAGCAAACCTCCTGCAGCGCTACGATGTCGAACTTGCGGACCCTCAATAAATCGGAAAGACTGCGGGTACTTCCCAAGAAATTGAGAGACTTGCAGTTCCATGTTCCGATTTTCCAATCGTTAGTCCGTTTCCGTTGCTTGGGTCTATGCCGATTGCTCCGGTCCATATTTACATTGCTTGCTTCCTGTACTTTTGTATTTTTACGGCTGGCTTGTAGGGCCTGCACCAACCCCCATTGTCTCGCCGGGGGACCATCGTGCACAAAACTGTTTAGAGTCCCACGTTGGCACCAGGACGTTGATCAGCCGCTCCTAACATGGAGAACAACCGCCGTTTTGAGCCTCCATGGTAAACAGACGCTCGAAGACTGCACTCTCCGGAGAGAGGAGTCCCCCCCCCCCTTCCATGTCAGCATACAACCAAGGGGTCACCGGGGTTGGTTACCCGATCTTCCCTATGATTACTCGTACCCCAGCCGGCACCGCGGGGACGTAGGGATAGGAGTTACTGGATAAGAGGCTAAGGACCGCTAGTGGGGTCTATTTTATACCTGCAGATACGCGAAGTATCAATGGTACGCATTGTCTAGCCGTTTACCAGCCAAATTCGAAATCTACAATCGCTGGATTCACGCTATCGATGCCGACTACCCAACAGGTTGCACGGTTCGAAGAGGCCTAGGTCATGTACCAACTGGACGACAAGAAACGGGACGAAGCGCCAAGCCATGAAATGATCTGGACTTTCCTGAAATTCTGTTGACTTCCCTTAAGTTCAATGCTCATTTATGAAGTCCTCAGAACTTTTCAAAGTTACCTCAATTTTCCTGGAGTTTGAACTACCATAAAGTTCTTTCAATGTTTTCGAAGCTACCCTGATACTCATGTAACCGAGTGGGGCGACACATCTAAATCTCAATTCTAGATGCTCAGAAAATCTCACACTAGTGAATAAATATTCGAAAAATCTTCTTTCATATCTCGCATCTACTTGCATCGCGCAACATCTTTTTGCAGGAAATCTTCAAAATCGTGATAAATCTTCTTTCTATCTACTCAGCGTAAGCGCAGCTAGCCACAGCAAAAATGCATCGTAGATAGAGTCATCCCCCTCGCATGTAACTTATTCATTATTGCCCTGAACTTAGAGAACTGTCATAAGAACTTCCCTAAAAAATTTCTGAACTTCTGTGAGGAACTTAAAATATTTCTAAACTTTTCTAGATGACCTTCATCTGGATTTCTAGAAGATTTGGGATCCTCAAAATTGTCCACTATTTCCGTAAAATTAATGCAATTGCAAGTTCTCTAGATATCTGTAAAATTCTCAAAGTTTTCCAGAAAATTTGAGGGGGGGCCTCTATCTGCGATGCAGGAAAGATTTTGGAAAGAAGATTGATGACGATTCTGAAAATTTCCTGCAAAAAGATGATGCGCGATGCAAGTAGATGCGAAAAATAACAGACGATTTTTCGAAGATTCATTCACTAGTGTGAGATTTTTCGAGCATCTAGAATTGAGATTTAGGTTGTGAACCATTTGCTGAGTTAAATTTAACTCGTGATTAAAGGTGACATTTCGAAAATTATTTTCTATTTTCGAAAATCCCTGTGATGTCGATCGACCGGTTTATGAGAAGAAATCAGCCACGGTTGTCAACATTTAACTTCTTGTCTGTCAGAAATAACCACGCTCGGATAGCAGGGTTAATCGATAACTTTCCATTTTGTCAAATTTTAACCAAAATGGTTCAGAGCCTAAGATGTGCCCGAGGATGTGCCTCCCCCGAGAAAATACATAAATTCCCTGAAGATTTTTTTTTTCAACTCTGCTGTCAACAGTAGGTTGTCAGAAATCGATGAAATCAAGAATCTGCATCCCCCTCAATGTTTCGGTTTTCGAAAGAACTGCTCCGTCAAAAGTTGCTTGAACTACGTCGTAACATGATCAAGGACGTGCAACAAGATATAAAACATCCCATAGTCGTCTTTCTAGACATGTCCCAAGCCTTCGACTCAGTGAACCTGCAAAAACTGCTGGATTCCCTACAAAATCTAGAATTCCCGAACAAGCTCATCTCCTGGCTGCACACCTACCTCAGCCACCGAAAATTGGTCCTATCCTTAAGATCTTTGAAAATCCCTAAAGATGTTTAGACCTAGCTTATCTGAAGTACTTGGAACTTCTTTGAAGTTTGAAATGTTTTCGTCAAGTTCTCTCTACTTTGTTGAAGTTCTCTTGAATTCTCTGGATACCCCTGAAGTGCTCAAAACTTCTTAAAAGTTCCTGCAGTTTTCCTGAAGCTGATGTAACTGCCTTAAAGCTCATGAAGCTTCCTGGAAGATCCCATAATATTCCAAAAGTTTCCGGAACTTGTCTAATGATCCCGCAGTTTGTTTATTAAAAATTGCAGAAATTCTAGGCATTTCTTTTCATTCTCAAGAACTTCCTTTAATGTTTGTGCAGTTAATTGGACTACCTTAAAGATCTTTAATTTTTTCACGGAATTCACGGAACATTCTTGAAATTCTCGCTATTATCCTTATCATTACCCTGACATTAATGGAACTGCTCTAATGATCCCTAAACTTCCCTGAAGTTCACTGGACTACCGTGAATTTCTTGGGTCTTCAATGAAGTTTCCAAAATTTGTCTTTAGCTCGCTTAACTTCGCTGAAGCATTTTGGACTATCCTAAATTGTTGGAACTTCTTAAAGGTTCCCGCTATTTACCTGAAATCACTAGAGATGAACTAGCCTATGGCTAAAAATCTCTTAAATAAAGATAAAAAAAAACCTGAAATCACAGAGAACAGACGACCAACTTCGGTCAAAAACTTGTGTAAAGATAAGTGGGAACATCGCCGTTACGTGGTGCTAGCATCTTCAGATTTCCTGTATAAATTTTCCGCTTTTGACAAATTTGGCACTAGTATCAATAAATTTTTTGTTGAAAATTGCCACTTATCGCTACCAGCACTTAGTGTCTAGTGTAAGTTTTGCAACGCCAGAGCAATCAGGTTGTCAAAGAGGATTTTTAAGTGGGGAAGTCGCCGTTATTGGCGCTTAAGTCGCATAGGAATCTCTACACTACTTTTTAGAGAAATTTTGTTCGAGTCTCAACGTCTGTTCTCTGTGCTGAAATTTATGGAACTGGCCTTAATTTCTCGGAATTTATCTGCAGTTCTGAGAACATTTCTGAAGATTATAACATGTCTACTGAAAATAGCACAAGTACAAGTATGTGGCATAAGCAAATCCTGTTCCGCTGTTCCCACGGAAAGGGAAGCTTTTCAATCTCTGGCGTCTTCAGTTCGACCCTTTAGTCGCTTGCAGCGCATCATGCGGCTGGTTTACAAAGCACCATCGTCGAAAGCTTCGCCTTCACAGAAATCATCATCATCAAGCAGAGTCGTCATCATTCAACAATCATCAAACAGCTGCTGTCACTTGAAGCTCGCTCCGAAGGAACGAGTAAGCCCATCACAACAGTTCCAACAACACAAAAACGAGAAAATCGGATACAAACAGTGAAAAAATCAAAATAAAAATATAATTTCGCCATCCGAAGCAGAAAAACTAAAATCACGTTGATTATTTTCATCGAACAGCAAGTGATTGAAAAGCATTCGTCGGTGTGAAACTCAGACAATGCCTTTCGTTTGTGACCAGCAGCGTGAAGGTTTTGAACACTGAGAGCTGAGTGCTGTAAAAAGTGAACGAAAACAAGGAAGTTTCAGTAGTTTATTAGAACTTAGCATAGGTATCCGAGAAAATCAGGTGAACGATGATTCCGAGTGCGACAGCCACCAGGTACCGATGGATGTTGGTCGGGCTGCTGCTGGAAACGGTTCTGCTCGGGGCGGCAGCCACAGTTGCAACCGCGGCAGCTTCCTCCAGCCCATCATCGGTGCTCATCGTCGTGTCGTATGACGCATTCCGTACGGAGTATCTGAGACGTAATAGTACGTCGTTCATGAATGAGCTTCGGCGAAATGGCACAACGGCGGAATTTATGCGGAATGTCTTTCCCACGAAAACATTTCCCAATCATCACAGCATTGCCACCGGAGTGTTTCCGAACCAGCATGGGGTCATGGCCAACGAGTTTTACGACCACAGTCGAGGGAAGCTCAACTATTCGTACGAAATGTTCCACTTCAGTGACGAGATTGTGCCAATATGGGTTAGTTTGCGTTTGTTATCACTAGCGAAGAAGGGCACTACACTAGGGGTGATGTAATTTCTAGTCAGCTTATACTAAACTGAAGATTTTTATTTTAGGCACTGAACGAGCTGAATGGAGGCCATTCCGGTTGTATTATGTGGCCGGGATCAAATTTCCCATACACGAAAGAAAGGGTGAACTGTACGTACGTGACACCGTTCAATCTGACGCTTCCGTGGAACGATCGAGTGGATACGGCTTTCCAATGGATTCAGGATCCGAAACAGCCGGCCAATCTGGTCATGTTGTACATAGAAGAACCGGACTACTATGGGCACATTTACAGTCCGGATTCGGATCGGGTGGCCCAGTTGATTGTGAAGCTGAACGATCTGACCCGATACATTCACGATAGGATTCGGGAGTTTAATCTGCAGGATCGGGTCAACGTGGTGCATCTCAGCGATCACGGGATGGATTCGTTGATGCCGAAGAATTTCATCAACCTAACGAGTTTCGTTCCGGACGATGTCAAGTACGATGTGCACGGCACTACTCCGGTATTGCAGATTGTGCCCAAGGTGAAGCAGCAAACGGCCGATCTATACCGGGCGTTGAAGAATGCGTCCGAAAAGAATGGAAACTTCGATGTGTATACGTTGGAGAATTTGCCGTCCCGGTGGCACTTTAATAATTCGCAACGAACCGGACCAATTACGGCGGTTGCGAAGCTGGGATACGGATTCGATGATATGTGGAAAACGGTGGAGTACTACCGGAAGACGTTCAACGTGTCAGGTATGTGTCGGATTGCTTAATTAACCAAAATGAACATTATTTTGAGCGCAGTTGTTTTTGACCAGAGTCCAGTCGTTGGTCCCCTGGTTCATGAGTTGATGAGTAGATAGGTAGGGTTCAAATGGAAAAGATCGCAATATTTCACGAAGTTCACCAAGGGAAAAGTGCGCGAGTGTTGGTGAACTTTTCTGGCATTATTATTTTTTATTCTCTTCATCGGACTTTTGTTGTCTAAATGAAAGTTGATAGGGAATAGCAAATATTTGCGCAAATAGGCGTAAACATCCCATGCGTTTTCGAAATATACGACGTGCGCCTGTGCTCTTGCCTACTATTCCGCAGGCATAGGGAAATTAAAGGAGCGAGGTTTGTTGAGACCGAACGTTTCGGGTGGTAACCTTATTGGTAAGAGAAATGTAGTTTCTACAGCTGACAAATAAAGCGTCGTTGATGATTATCTCGAATACTTTCGAGCAGACACAAAGTGAGGTAATTCCTCGGTAATTCTCCACATCTTGCTTGTCTCCTTTCGGGAACATAAACGAAGATTTCCAACGAGAAGGAAATACACCTTGTTCTAATGAAATATTGTACAACTTTGAAATTTCAGCTTCTGGACGGTCTAATGTGACCGTGAAAATATCAAAGCTGAACGCGTCTCTGCGAATATCTTTGATCCCTTCGGCAACCTGGCTTAACGATGCCGTTGTGTCGTTGAAAACACTGTAAAGAAGTGTTGGCTTTTATTTTATCGCTTAGATGAATCTCAACCGGTAGCCCATCCTCTTACCTTTTTGTCTTCACAAACGTCCTGAATAGCTTGAGATTACGCCGGAGATTGGTCTGCAAACGTCTTGAGTACTTCTTGTAGGCTGCCGCTTACAGCACCAGGAAATCGCTGCACCCTGTAGCTTGAATATTTAACCACTTGTTGATTTCCTGTCGTCCAGATCAGCTGCCCAGTCCGCGTCACTGTATCCCAATAACTTCGTCGTTGGCATCCTTCTTGTACACCAGTTTCATTTTCGAAGTTCCACGAAGGTAACGGAACAAATGCTTGACAGCACTCCAATGTTGCATTCCTGGATTTGAATTGTAACGGATGAGCTGGTTCACAGCGAAAAGAACATCCGGTCATTAGACTGCCGTTTGCTTCCTGATACAGAATGTTGGCCATCTGGTTCGTCTCGTCTGGGGTTTTTGGTGACATTTCCTTGTTAAGCTTGTCGGTCATCAGTGTCTTCGTTGATTTACAGTTAGACATGTTGAATTTAGTCAACATCGCTTCAACGTAAGCTTCTTGATCTAACGGTATCCTCAGTCCGGATGAGTATGCCCAAGCACCTCTTAGCTTCGCCTAAGTCCTTCATTCGGATGTTCTCGTTCAAGAACCCCTGGAATGGTCAATCAAGTCGTCATCGTTTAAAATATTATCACGTCATCAACATATTTAGACTGCCACAAATATAATCCGCCGGTCATCAATGTGATAATACACACAGGGGTCATAGCTCGCCTGAGTAAGACCAAACTTCTTCAGCATCGAATCCAACTTGTTGTTCCAGACTCGGCTCGACTGTTTGAGTCCATGTAGATTTCCTCCTCCAGATCTCCTTGGAAAAAAGCGGTGACGGCGTCCATTTGTTGGATTCGCAAATCGTATCTTGCTGCCAATGCGAAAAGTATCGTAGCGAACTGTGACGAATTGGGGATACTTTTCTTCAAAATCCACCCCCTTTAGCTGCGAGAATTTTTTAATCACCAACCTCGCCTTGTGTCGGTCTACATTTTTACGCTCGAATCGTGCTTTATCTTATATATCCTTTTGCATTTTATCGCCTCCCTACTTTTAGGGAGTTTCGCCAGGGTCCAGGTACCGTTGCTGATCAACGGATTGTACTCCTCCTGCATGGCTACCTTGCATTTTTCGGCATCGGGACGCGACATCGCTTCTTGTGACGTGACAGTTTCGTTTGAAATGTCGATATTCACATTGTCGATCTGCTGCTGAGCCGCCAATCCACACATTTGACCCAACTCATCTGCCTCCACAGATTGGTTCGGCTCCGCACCTTGCGCAGCATCGGATTGGGAAGTCTGTGAGAAACGGCAATATTAACCTGATCATATGTACTTGCCTGGGAGATTGTGCTCCCGACCGCTTCGCCTCAACGCCAATGACCCAGGCGGATATGAAAATTGGTGCGGTGGGAGGACGGTCATACCAGTTACGGTGTCTATTGAACTGCTGCTAACGTTGCTTAACGCTTCTTCGTAATCATCGTCTTATAATGGTGCTCTGTTCGCACGCTGCAAAAATTATATCGATACAGAACAACACGGTTTCTACCCGAAGCGCTCCGTGTCCACGAACCTGGTGCAGTTCACTTCTAACTGTCTGCGATGCATGGATTCAGGAAGTCGATACTGCGTATATGGATCTAAGAGCTGCATTTGACACGGTGGACCATAATATTTTGCTGGCCAAGCTGGAGATACTTGGCATCTCGTCAACTGCTGTGGATTGGTTCAGATCTTACTTGGTGAATCGCTATGTACATGTCAAGATTGGCGCGTCGGAATCGGATGTTTTCTCAAACAACTCGGGAGTCCCGCAAGGCAGTAACCTTGGGCCGCTACTATTTTCGATCTTTTTAAACGATGTCGCCTTGCTGGTACCATCAGGATGCCGCGTTTTCTATGCAGACGATACGAAAATCTACAAAATTATGAAAAGCCTGTCGGACTGCTGGGATCTCCAGAATATGTAAAGTATTTTTGCTGACTGGTGCTCAAGAAATTTGATGAGTCTAAGCATAGAAAAATGTAACATTATTTCCTATCACCGAAAAATCGAACCAATCATGTTTGACTATGTTCTCTACGGACGCTGTCTTGCTCGTGTAGAGCACATAAAGGATCTCGGCGTTACCTTGGACTGCAGACTCACTTTCAGAATCCACTACAATGACATCATCTCCAGAGCTAATCGACAATTGGGCTTTATTTTCAAAATTGCCGACGAGTTTCGTGACCCGCTATGTCTCAGGTCACTTTACTGCTCGCTTGTGCGATCCTTATTGGAGTCAAGTTCAGTTGTTTGGTGCCCTTTCCATGCTAGCTGGATCACTAGAATTGAATCCGTTCAACGCAAGTTTGTGAGATATGCTCTTCGTTTCCTCAACTGGCGTGACCCAACGAACTTGCCACCGTACGAGGAGCGTTGCCGTTTCCTGGGAATCGAGCCATTAGAGGTGAGACGGACGGTCGCTCAAGCTATGTTCGCTGGAAAGCTGCTTACAGGTGACATTGACTGTCCAACACTGCCGTCACAGCTAAATATGTATGCCCCTGAGAGGTCTCTTCGTCAACGCGACTTGCTGTTTTTGGAACCACGGAGCCGGAATTATACACAACACGAGCCAATTTGAGCAATCAGCCGGCAATTCAACAACTTTTTTTATATATTCGACTTCAATGTATCAGCTGACGTGTTTCGTCATCGGCTACTTGGCCTTTTCCGTACCGTTGACCGTAACTATTTAGTATAAGTGTTATTCATTTAGACAATAATTGTCAGTTGAATTTTTCAATAAACAACAAGTCACTCTCAGGAATAATTGGTACAGCCGCTGCATTCGTTTTTTCCGTAACCTGTGACAGTCTCTTCAAACTCCATTCTGATCGCCGTGCGATCTCCTCCTCGATCAGCTTTCAATTCACGACTTCCAATTGTCCCTTTGTTGATGAATCTAACATCCAGATTCTGGACAATCTTTCTGGTGTTCAGATCTAATACACGATAACCCTTGGTATCTTCATCCAGTCCTACCAAAATGCACGCTTTCGATTTTGCATCCCATTTGCGTCGTTTTGGTTTTGGAACGTGAACCATTGCTTGTGTTCCGAAGATTCTAACGTGCGACAAATTCGGATTCTTTCCGCTCCAGAGCTGTTCGGATTCGGATGATTTTGACATTCTGTCTGTGAATTTTCTGAATGTATCTGGAACTTCGCCTTCCGACTTTGATCGCAGAAAATAGACAAACATCTGTCTTGACTTGTCATCCACAAATACAATATAATATCTGCTTCCTCCTAACGACTTGACCACAAATGTCCGAGTGTACGACCTCCAACAATTCAGATGCACGGGAACCCTTCTTGCTGAATGGTTGCCGACTGTGTTTTCCCATCGCACATACGCTGCAACCGCAGTCAGTCGTTTCACTCAGTTCCACGCCATCAACCGCCAGCTTCTTTAATCCCGCCAAATTCAGATGGTCCATTCGTCGATGCCAGATATCCAGGGTTACAGCTGATGAGCATGCCAGTGCCTTGTCGCGTATGTTGTGCTGGTCCAGCCTAAACAAATCATTCATGTGACAATCTTTTGCCACTACATCGCCACTCGCATTCAGCACTCTACAGCCTACAACCTTCGTTTCCGTTCTTTTTAATCCTGTTGACAGAAAGAAGATTCACTAATAACTGAGGGATATATCGTACCTTGTTGACTTGAAGTCCAGAACTGCTTTCCCGACAATGTGGCTTCAGGACGGTTCTTCCGATAGCTTCAATGCTCATTTCGCCCTTGTTGGCCGCAGCAACATAACCACTCGATGTCTTCCGATCCTTCAACAGCGCCTTGTTGTGAGTCATGTAGACTATTGTTCCGGAGTCGAAAAATCAATCGGTGCTGCTGTTCGACTCAATCGATGAAAAAAAAAACAGTGCAAAAAAACTTCTTCCTTCGAACTTCTACAGTCTTTTGCGATGTGGGCGTATTTCTTACACTTCCTGCACTTCGAACCTTTTGAGACTCCGTTTTGAGTTGGTTGAACGTTTTCTGCTGCCTGTTGAATCCTTCACGCTTCCCTATTGTCAGTAGTGCCGCATCCGACGAAGGTGCTGCAGCTCCTGCACTAGCTTTCTCTTGATGGCATCTCCTGTTACCGGTGTTCCGAAGTTTTTCAGAGCCATAATCATTGGCCTGTACTCCTCTGGTAGATCACATAGCAGCAACGCGCGAACCCATTCCTCCGAAATCTTGAATCAAATTCCGTTTAACTGATGAGCCGTCGCAATAACTTGATTGACGTATTCCGACATCGACGAACAGTTTCCGCAGAAGTCCTACTCGCCTAGTGAGTCCAGAATCTTCAAACACTTTCTCCAGGTTGTTGTCGACTTTCTTCGCTCCTGTCGTTTTCTCCCAGTGCTGTTAATTTTCATATCATTCGATTGAAGATGAACATCCTGTGAAAACGAATTCTCTCATGCCCATCATTTGAAGAACCCCTTTCTCAATCCAACCTCATCTTCATTTAATACACGACAGTGGATTATTGAAGAATCCCAGCAAAATGGTTCCGAACAGACATGTCATCCCGACGTCGGGTTAATGTAAGGCTAATTGAAGGTCGATGTCGACCCAATGTCGCGTTGATGTCAGATCAATTTTGAGTTTATGACGGGTCAATGTCGGGTTGGGGCTTGGTAGAAGTCACCTGACTGGTGTCGGGTTGGCTTAGTTTTTTCACCGGAATGTCGACCAGAGCTCCGTTTGTGTGTAGGTTACACTCAATACGGGTAAGAACGCCCGGCGGGGTAAGAGGGACCACAGCCAGTTCTATATGAAATCCTCAAGATTCTTACCAATACTGAATGCAGAAAAGATTAACAACATGTTTTTATCATTCTGGAACACCTTGTAGACCCCCCCCCCCCCCGAACTTATGAAGCTTCAAAACAATAAATAATTGCAAACTTCCCGTTCGGTGGGGCTTTCACGATCCAATCGTTTGTTCATCAAAAAGACTTTTTGATGAACAAGCGATGTTTTCTGACGTTTTTTCCTGTTTCCTTCAGTAGTCATGACAATCTTTTTAGCAGTTAGTTAGTTTTAGCAACCGGTGGAAACTAACGATTTAAAATGGGCTCACTACTTGATTAGCCTATTGGTCCCAAGCAAACGATTAACGTACCCCATTCTAATTGAAATCTAGTACCACACAGTGTTTGTGTTGTTCGCTATGAAAGTTTGACAGATAAAAAGAGGGGTTCGTGGATCTTCCTATGTTTCGAGAGGTGCATCGATTAGCTTGGGACCGAAGAGAGTACCAGAGCTGAGCCAAAAAGTTGAGCACGTTTCTTCGGGACCTTCTGGTCTTAGAGCTACCTCTATGATTTTTGTATATCAGTAATCATATTGATTAACGATTGCTGCGAAATTTCCATTTTAGGAGTGGTAAATTTTGGTTAGAATTATGATGGCTAGAATTACTTAAGCGGCGCCGGTGGTGTAGTGGTAAGCGTGATTGCCTCTCACCCCAAAAGCCTGGGTTTGATCCCAGTCGGTGCCGTCGGGATTTTCTCAGGATTAAAATCTCTGATCACGCCTTTCTTCAGAAGGGAAGTAGAGCCGTTGGTTCCCAGTCCATGAGTTGATGGGTCTATAAGTAGGGTCCAGGTGTGGGAGCTGCCTTCCTGGCGTCGGTAGCATAGGTACTCAGTACGGAAAACAAGATCGACGGAATACAAATCAAAGAAGACATAAATAGAATTTTGAAGCTCAATAATCAACATTGAATTGATATTGTTTTTGATAAACATTAAATCACTATTTCAAATGTGAATACAGGATAACATCAGCGGTGAGTACAGGGTAGCTGAATAAAACGGACCGCCTGGTTTTAACTGTCAAAAATTTGTAAACAAACCCGAGCCCGCGTCTGACTCTCAACGTAAGTTTAAAGACGTTCCCCTGGGAAGTAATCAGCGTAATAAAAGTTTTGTGATATTGTGATATTACAGAAATATGGACTGGGAATCGAAGCGTCTCGCAGTTTTCAAGCTGCTGGAGACACAGAAGTCGGTCGGTGAGATAACCAAGCTGCTTGGTGTGAATCGAAAGTTTGTCTGGCGATGCAAAAAACGATTGGAGGATAGAAGTGAAGCTTCAAGAAGACCTCTAACAAAAATTGTTGGAATCCGGTAAGGTCTATGAATCTAATGGCCAAGGACTATCAGGTGTCACGTATGACGATGCAAATCGTGGTTAAAAAGGATTGGCCTCTATCCTTCTAAACTGCAACAACGTTAACTTCTCTCAGAAGCAGCAAAGAAGAAGCGGATGGAAAGAAGCAAAATTCTGAAGAAGCTATTTGACGTCGGCCTCAAATTTAACCGTCAAAATGACAGAGTGCTATACAAGCATCGGAGTTCGGCTGATCCCAACAACAAATTCGTCTACAGAGCGCCAAAACCAGATTCGGTGATGATTTGGGCAGCAGTTGCATCGAATGGGAAGAAATCTCCTGTTTTTCGCATTCCGGATAGGGTAAAAATAAGCAAGGACTTTTTACAACAGAAGGTGTTTCCGTTAGTCTAGTCGGAGTTCACTGACACAGATATTTGCTTCACCCAAGATTCTGCACCTGCCCACGCAGCCAAACGCGTTCAAGTGTGGTGTGAACAGAATTCCGATCATTTTTGGTCGAAAAAAATGAGGGCCTCCTCCTTCTCCGGATATTAACCCGCTAGATTTCGCGATGTAGGGCATCGTAGAAAGCGCGACCAATGCTAAGCCAAGGAGCAATAAGGACGCTCTTATGGTAGCTATACAATGAGCCTGGGACGATGCTTCGCAAGAAATCGTGCGAGCCAGCTGCTCCAGTGTTGCTGATCGTTTGACGAAGATTATTCGAGCAAAAGACTCCCATTTTGAATAAGCAGCTGACTCTCGAATATTACTTTTGGAATAGGGGAAATGCCTCTAATGTTGGCCTATGGATCTAAGATTTGGCCCATCGCTAAAAATCTGCTATTTATCAATTTTATCTAGATGAACGCGTCATTGGGACGGTACTAATGGATATTTTTGGTCGCTATTGAAAATTTAGTCGATTGCTGAATTTATGTATGGGCCCAAATTAGAGGCGACATTACATCCATTTCCCCTACAAATGAAATATTGAGAATTTAAATGGGGACTGTTTTATTCAGCCACCCTGAATTAGTGCTTAACTGAGATAACATGACTAGTCACAGTTATGTAAATTAGAAAGGGTCTAGTATAAGAGAGGAGCGGACTTGGTTGATTTTGAGTCAAACGAACTGTCAAAGCCAGAGCCAATCGAGCAGCGCCTATCTTGATTGCATTGGTAGTGTTGCTAGAAATAACCTAGGCATAGGTTACCAAGGTAGTTTGTTTTGAACCCGCTTCTCTCTTATACTCGACCCTCTCTAATGTAAACCATTCCTTCCCACATTAGGGCGTGATATGCTTCGTGGATGTTCCATAAGCAATAGTTTTGACGTAGGATTACGTCTTTTGGCATCATATTGGGGGTGCAATTTCAAAAAACCAAAATTGACCGCGTTACGGAAAGTATCAATAGCGGATGGATTGTAATTCTAAATAAGCCAATCGATTGGAAATTTTTCTACGAATCTGTACACTTTATCAATTTTCAATGTGTCACTTTTGAAAATTACACAAATGTCCAACTGTTGCTATGGTGATCAAAATTATTACCGATTGTCTGCAAAAAGCGCTTTCCCTAACACAGATTTCAAAATCAAATTCCATCCGGTCTCGTCGAACGGTGTTCGGTCGGTCGTTATAAACAGCAGCAGCAACAGTGCTTTCGGCATGTGGCGTTGAACATTGTTCTCCAGTACACAACAAAATGCTGCCCGCAAGCAGCGAGCGCCCACATGAGCGTCCATTCACCGAAGAAGGAGGAAGAAGCCGCACCGCTACTGATCGGATTCAATTGCTCGTCGTGAGCCAGTGTGGGCCATCTTTTCCAAGCGCGTCACCCTCGTTCCAAACAGTTCGCCAGCCACATCCGTGTTGAACACTCTAATAGCTCAGCATTACGGTTCTTCTCAGGACCACCATTAATTATTGTTGTTTAAGAGTTAATTTTCATTGAACGTTCGCTCGCCTTGCTGTCAGCCACATCACCCCGATGGCTATTTGATAATGTACCCAACAACCAAACGTTTGTGGTCAAATGCATAACAGTTTTGAATTGGTACACAAAAATTCTCACAATGACCGAATACCACATGACCTTGTCAATTAACCAGAAACACTTCGAAGTAAGGTAAGGTTTTCTCCAGGACGCTAGCAAAGCAAAAGAATCTCGAAAGTGATTTCTCTAACCCTAACACAGTCATCAATAATTGATACCGAGCATGTAATCCTACGTCAAATCTACGGTTGCCTTTTTTTAATCCAAATAATCTTATCTATTTCAGTAACCTCGGAAACCAAGTACGGCGTCCACGGGTACGACAACGATCTTCCCATAATGCACCCCATCTTCTTCGGTTACGGTCCCAAAATACGAGAACGAACCACGGTAGATCCGTTCGATACGGTCGATCTGTACTACCTGTTCTGTGAAATTCTAAATCTGAATGCACCGTCGTACTTGGCTGGTCAACGGCAGCACATTGCGGGGGTCCTGCGGAACGACTCCCGTGACGACAGCGATTCCGATGACGATTCCACTCGGACCGCTACCCTTGCCGGTAAAAAGTTGAAACGGTCACCTTAATCTACTTTGACTAACCTCCGAGTTTCATCTCTTTCATACTTTCAGTCATTTTCGCCGGTAGTTTGATAGCATCCTTTGCACTGGTAAGCCTGCTGGCGGGTTTTGTCCTTTGGCAACGGCGTCGTCGGGAAAATTTGGTACCCCATTATCTGTACGACGAAACGGAATCTTTCTTGGACGAGGGTAACAAACTGTTGTCAGCCCATCAGCAGCAGCAACAACAACAACAACAGCATCCCCAAAACAGTAATCACCGTAGTCATCGCCATCACCATCAACTACGCACCAATGCCATCAACTCGTCCATCAATGGGGATGTGGTTTCGATAGATGTTTGAGTAACGTCTTTTGGTGACTGTTTGTCATGTTCGTTGTTCATTCCTAATGTTTTATGTGTTGTTTCCTTTTAACATGTATGTGTGCGTCATGTTGTTTCCGTTTCCGCGCCATGGCAGTAGTAGTTTGGAGGGAAGGGCCATGCCATGATAGGTGTCATCACTCTATTTCTACAAACCAATACATATCAGTCGTAAAGCGTAGATTTGATTTCCCCATTTGTCCCAGCCATTACCTGTTACCACGTTAGTTGAGAGGATATTTTAAACAAAAAACTGTATTTCGACAATACGGCCGGGGAACGTCCAGAAAAATGTGAATTGAATTTTAGCTTAAATGAGGACGTTTCCAGCTGAAATAACCTTCCTAGTGTTGCATAATGTTTAAAATATTAATTTCTGTCAATTAGCCGCTATATCCTATCGATAGTGTAAAAGCACCGTTTGCAGAAACACAGCATAGACGAGTGTCATTTTACCCCTGTCAATGAAATACATCGAAATAAACAAACCATCGTTGGTAAAGAAACAACAATGAAAGCAAAATCTGGTAAAAGGGATACTAATAATAATTCCCCCAAATTCAAATGAACAGGACAGCGGAATGAGAAAGTATCGACCAGTGTTACCAATATTCGCCATTACGTGAGACTGTGAAAATGATCCGGAAACAATATGAAGGAACGGAAGTAATCAGAGTAGCCATAGTAAAAAGTAATTATTTAATAATTTAAATAATGTATATTTTATTGACTATAATTATGTGGGAAAAATATGTAAATAACAAAGAACTACTTGACATACAGAACTATATATCTATGCCTATCGTAGCACCTACCGACTGTCGCTAAAAATCAACCAATCGATTGCTAATTGATTTTTACACAAATACGATGGAAACGAAAATGGTTTGTAAACCTGAATAAGGTGATTTGAGACAACAACAAAAAAAAAATGTAGCAAATTAAAGAATAAACTTCTTGTGATATTTTTTACACCGATAACAAAACAAAAAAAAAACACTATTGAATTCTAGAATGCTGTAACATACCGTGTTGTGTGAGATTGGGACGACGAAGAGAAGAGTAAGAGACTATAAGTTAAGTTCATCTCAGCAAGTGAACACAATTTTACAACCTAACTGAAACCTGACTATGATTGAGATGATTCGCAGTGATTTTTTATTAGCCTATTATCTTCCTCACTTTAACGAGCACACAAACAAACGATACATTAAAGATACATTCTCACTCGACCTACACACATGCAAACACACTTAGACACGTGACGTAAGATCAAGAGATTTTATATTTTTCGTTTCCAAACGGAAATGCAGCATGTATGTGTATATTATGCGTTCGCGGGAAATGCTTGGAGGAGGTCCTTGGAAGATACGGGAAAACCCAACCAGTGTGTCTCCGCGAGAGCAAATATCAGTAACACAATATACAAAACGTACGGTTTAATAAAGTATTTAAATCCCCTGTATGATGATGGTTCTTCATTTGAGAGATTGACACCGCCTACTGTTCCACCTGTACCTAAGAGGAAGAGGAGACAACTGACTTCTTCTTTTCTGTGACCGTGCAAAAACTTTTTCTAGGGGCAAGACAGCTGTACTCAGAGTAAATATATATGCAGCGAGTAAATCTGAGTTACTCACATTTACTCAAAAATGATCAAAGTAGTCTCGATTTTCTGACCAAAGAAAATATCGTCTGACAGCATATTTGGTTTTCAATATAAACACGGTTTTTAAGCATTAAAAGATCCCATAACGCATTCTCTGCTTGATCGTCAAGCAGTTCGGTGTTAGCTCGCTCTCTCGAGTTGTTTGAAAAGTTCGTGGCGATAGTGTTCGCGCTCTCTCTTTCGCGGTTTTATGTGTGTGCGCGCCCCGAAATGGGGAAGCATTGCTCGCGAAGCCCGATGAAGGACAAGAACCCCGGTGAACGAAGCTCTGGTGTACCTACATCCAACAGGTTTGCTGTTCTCCCCATGGATGGAAATATCCAGCCAGCTGTGACGGAAAAACGCAGCAAGAAGAGGAAGAAGAATCGGGGCCAGTCCGATGGCACGATTGGTCGCGACGATGTCTCTGCGATGAACGGAGATTTCGGTGACGCTGCCGAAAAAGAAAATGCTGCTGACATGAGCGCAGCAAGAGTGAAGCTACCTCCGCTGGTAGTGAAAAATGCCCATTTCAACGAGCTCATCGCGGATCTGGCGTCGCTGGGCGTCAAAACCGAATCCAAATTGGGCAGAGTCGGCACCAAGGTGGTGCTCCGTACCAAAGCGGAATATGACTTGGTCATCGCCCACCTGAGGACTTCCAAGGTGGAATTCTTCACCCATGACATCCCCGGTGAAAAACCGTTCAAGGTCGTCATCAGGGGCCTACCAAATTTCGACCTGAAGTTTATCGAACATGAAATCAGGGACCTGTACAAGCTGTCCCCAAGCGCCGTCTATCGGATGACAAGGCAGGACGAAAATGTGAAGGCGTATCTGGATTGCCTTTTCCTGGTACACTTCCAGAAGGGAACAGTGACGCTCAACGTGCTGAAAGCCAAGCGCTCCATCAATTCCATCATCGTCCGCTATGAGCCATATCGTTGCGCCTATCGCGATGTGACTCGGCACCCGAAACTGCAACATTAAGCCACGCTGTGGTAATTGCGCTCAAAACCACGCCACATCCAAATATACTGCGGATGAAACTGTGGCGTCCAAATGTGCCAACTGTGGTGGTGCTCACCAAGGATCGGACAAGCAGTGCCCTAAACGCAAGGATTTCAAGCGCATCCGAAAACAGACGTCCACCAACAATCAACCAGGATGAAGGAAGGATAAGACCCCAGCTTTCAGGGTGGAAGACTTTCCGCCTCTTCATGGACAAGCGAATTCACGGGTGGGATCCGCCCCCTCAAGAAACGTCTGGATCTTCTGCAGGACAAAGCTCTCCATCCCCCCTGGATTCTGGAGACAACCAACTGCTCAAACAAATAATCCCGATTTGTGCTCAGCAGATGAACTGATGGTGATTTTCATCAACATGACCGGTGCTCTACGTAAGTTCCGCGATATGCCCGAACAGATCCAAGCGCTCGGTAAGTTCATCATCCAATGGTGTCTAAACCGCTAACCATCGCTACCTGGAACGCTTGCTTGTAAGAGCTAAGCAGATTGAGCTTGCCGACTTCCTCTGCAAGCACAGTATCGACGTGGGTCTTCTAACCGAGACCCAACCAAAGTCCGGTGACAGCTTCTGGTTGCCTGACCACAACATTATCCGGCGTGATCGCACCAGCTCCAGGGGGGGGGGGGGGGGTTTGTAGCGGTCATCGTCAGAAAGGGAATCAAGTGGGGAAGGAGGTGGAATCACCAACTGGAAACGTCCGGTTTACCGCTGTTTACTGCCCACGCCAGTGTACCACAAGCAACGGCCTAGGCATCCATTTCAAGAACGACCTAACCGCCATTACCCGTACTAGCTCCCGATTCATCGTTGGGGGCGACCTGAACACCCGCCATGAAGCTTGGCGGAACTACCAGCGGAACCGAAACGGATGTCTGTTGTTCGACCCGCATAACATGGACTGTACACTGTGCAGTTTCCAGGCGAACCAACTTTTATCTCTCCGGCGGGAAATCCCTCCACCCTGGATTTTTTCCTGTCGAACATCGGACTATCCAAGCCGGAGGCGCACAACGAGCTCAGCTCCGACCTCCAACCGATGGTGACTGAAGTCGGTGTCAACGTGGTTCCTGCTAGAAGCTGGCTGCGTAAAGACTACCATCATGTCAACTGGGTGCAGTACGGACGAATGGTGGACAGCAACATCGATGAAAATCCACTGCTCGACACCGTAGATGACATCGACCGGGCGTTGGAAGGACTCCAACAGGCCATATCCGTGGCTGACGAATATTCCTGTGAGGGGTAAGTTTGTTGCTATTGATTCCCACATCCAATTATTGATTCGGTTGAGAAATGTGCTCACTCCGAAATGAAAGTTTCGGGCGTGTTGTCCAGAATCTGGACGACCGCTCCAGACCATTCTGTAAGGTAGCCAAGTTCCTGAAAACTCATCCCAAACCCGTTCCACCTCTCAGAGTCGAAAATGATGACGATCGGCTTTTAATCACCCATATTCGGTTGGACTGGGAAATGTTCAATTAGCGTGCTGGAACTGTAGACTTGGGCACGTTTTGCGATTACATGAGTGCAATTACATCTGCTGCTAGCGATGTAGCGCACTTCACCGACTCCGATGGAGCTGGCATGAGTCGAAACGAACGGCACAAAAAGGAAAAGGTGTTCGTTAATGCGCATGTGCCTGAAGAGTCACGTAATAGCGAATTTGTTTATTATCGGGGTTGGAACCAGTTCCAACCCAGTGCGAAACCGAACTTTTTGTCAGTGCAACCTCAACTTGAGGTAGGTTTTAAAATCAAACGATCAAACTGACGTTTGTCAGAAAACAATCATGGCTGATCTTGATACCCAATCCAGTTTGGAACTGAATAATAAACAAATTCGCTATAAGTTTGAGCAACAAGGGAAGAAGCCGGACAGTCAGGTCAGACCATGCTACATTTGCCAAAGTGTGAAGCACCGGATCAGGAACTGTTACAAGTTCAAGTCCTTGTCACTCGGAGATCGTTGGAAAGCAGTAGAGCAATCAACTTTTTAGTAACTGTCTGGTACCGTACGGAAGATGGTCATGCAAATCAACACGCGTCTGTGGAATCGACGAGTGCACTGTGCAACACCATCCTACTCTACATCCGAGTCAATCGACTGCAGGTCGCACCCCAGGAGTTGGAAGAACGTGATTCAATACGCATTTGGTATCAACCATTAGGAGTGGTCACGAGTCTACGTAAGCCCGGCAAAGTGCGTATCATTTGGGATGTAGCCGCCAAAGCACACGGATTGTCCCTCAACGACGTGTTGTTAAAGGGACCGGATCTTCTGACGTCATTAATAGAGGTATTATGCCGTTTTCGACAGCGACAGGTGGCAGTCGCAGGTGACATCCGTGAGATGTTCCACCCGTTCCACCAAATGAAGATACGGAAGGAAGATCAACAATTTCTACGTTTCCTCTGCATAAAGGATCCATCATTGAAGCCTGAAGTGTTCGTGATAGACGTGACGATCTTTGGGGCCACCTGTTCCCCCTGTTTGGCCAACTTCGTGAGGAATACTAACGCAATGGAGTGGAAGCATAAAACCATGATGAGATGAGATCTCAAGTCGGATGGTAAGAAGCGATTCCAGCAGAAATACAAGGGAACTGTGGAAGGTGTATCAAGCAAGTCACCAAGCTTCACGAAGTTCAGATTCCACGGTGTCATTTCCCGGGATATGATCCGGATAGCTTCCGATCACTGTAGCTTTGTGTGTTTGTGGATGCGAGTGAATCTGCTTTCGCTTGCGTTGCATATTTTCGAATGATGGATCGAGGCCAGCCACGATGTGCTTTGATAGCATCAAGGTCCATTGAAGCCACTCTCTATTCCTCGATTAGAGCTCCAAGCAGCGGTCATTGGAAGTCGAAAATCCGTTGCTGAGTACCATTCGCTTCCTGTATATCGCAGATTCTTCTGGAGTGACTCCAAAACCGTTCTTTCGTGGATCAGATCAGATGCTCGGAAGTATCGCCAGTATGTAGCGGTTCGTGTTGGGGAAATTCTGGAAGAAACAACGATTGAAGAATGGCGATGGGTACACACAAAACAGAATATAGCGGACGGGGAAAAGGTCCCACTTTGCATCCGGACAGTCTTTGGTTCACCGGGCCGGTATTCTTCAACCAACAGGAGGATGAGTGGCGAGAGCAGCAGGTTCAATCAATCGAAACCGAAGAAGAACTACGTGCTATTCACGTGCATCGGGCGGAGGTAACTCGGACATGCATCGAGCCTGAACGATTTTCCAAGTGGGAGCGCATGCTTCGAGCAATTGCCTACGATGCAAGGATGCAAG